GATAAACGAAAATAGAGATACAACTACTCCAAGAGGTAATCGCTTCACTGTAAGAGATCCTCCTGCTTTAGCAGCTGCCACAAGGTTTCTGGAAGTGCCAAATTCAAGCGAAAATGTCACGATAAATGAAACCAATATCGTTCAAAGTTTTAAGTTTTATGCTCCACTATGAGATGAGGATGATAGAAGAAGAATCTATCCTTATATTCTTATCTTTATATTTTATGATCTATTCCAATAATTAATACATTAATTATTTTAATCATATCTAACTTTAAGCCTTAAAATTACCTCACTGGTAAGATAATGAATTCTTACAAACTTATAAAAATATATATGTTTGGAAGTAGTTATAAACAAAATAACATATTACATACGATGTTTACGATGTAATCTCATGCAAACAATGTCTGTTTTAAAAGTTCTCATAGATATTTGAATTTTTCTGATTAAACTCAGTATCTGACACCAAACTTATATCTGTCATAATTTCTAATTAACTTACTTAAGTTCAAATATTGAAAACTAAACTAAAAACTTATTCACATCACTTATTCACTCGCCTTATTCATTCGTACAAGTAAATACAAATCGTTTTAATAGATTGGTTCAATCATCTATTCTGCATTCAGTCACCAGTTGGGAACCTGAGCAAATTAACCGCTGACAGTGAAATGGGAAAAACAATAGGAAATGTGAAAAATGTAAGAAAAAAGTATGGAAAAGCGGGAATAGGCACAACTACTGCCGTTAGTTTGTCGCATTCGAATGTGAAGGCAGAGAACTCTTTAAATTAAATTTATTTTCCATTCATCCGCAGCGATGGACTGAAAATGTTTGCATAACCTCGACCTTAATGAAATCATGTTGCTGGCATTGTTGCAATCGCTGCCCGTTGCGATTACTTCGTGATTTAACAATTTCATTTATTTATTTTAGAGAAGCATTTTTACAATTTTTTTCACGTTTCCCTCGTTTTCTGTGTGTCCATCTGTGTGTTTTGTGAGTATTCTGTGTCTTTTCAGTTAACAAAACAAATACAGCATCCCTAAGCAGATGCAGGCTTTCAACTCCTAACTGCATTCAAACGGTTAACAGCAAATGTTTTTGTTTTACGAGGAATCTGGTCATTGCATAAATTTTCGAAATTTTTTTGATAGAAATTGGCTTACTAATGCTTAGCATCACAAATACAGTGGACTGGCCAGATACAGAAAGATTTTCTTTTCTTCGTTTTCATCATTTCAATTTTAAATTATGAAATGGAGCTCCTATTGAGATTTTATGCAAACACAAGATACTCACATAAAAAAATTTTGTTAAGCCCATGGAATTGGGTTTCTATGCTAATAACGGCTTGATTAGAGGAAGGATGGCTGCTCAGTTCTGTTGTTAAACACTTTTGGTTAGTTGAAGCAAAATAAACAAATTTAAGACATGTAATAAATTATTTATTATAATTTGCATTAATACCGTAGCATTATTATAAGGAAGAATTCTAGTGATTTTTATTAAGAAAAATAGAATGATTTATTATACTTAGGTAAATACTATTATAAAAATAGACCGCTGTTATCATCATTCGAGAACTCTAAGAAAAATGTCTGATGTCAAAAGAAGTATAAATGTTAATCAATATTGAACAAATAATTTCAAATCATAATAAATGAAAAATTTACATTTATAAACAAAAGGTTTCAAAAAGTAGTGAACTACAACAACAATTTTTTTTATTATTTTAAATTAATTGAATTATTGATTCAGATTAGTTTACAAGATAAGTAAACAAGTATTAAAATCGCCTACTACCGGTGATGGTCCAGAGTTTACTATATGAAACAGTAACAACCTAATATATGTGGTAATGAATTCATTGAAGTGCCCATCTATGGACCTGGTAGACTAAAGTATTTGCGTATGGATACAAACTATATCATGAACACTAAAATATTAGACTATTAGTTATATAAATGTGTTCAACAGCTTTGAATGGTGTTATTCCCAGCAATTTAAATAAAATTTTATGAATAAAAGTAATTTTTATATTTTAAATAATATTTAACTATTAGATAATTAAGATATTAAAAATTACTTACCCAAATATAAGCATTTCAGAGGTACTAGAAAAAGTTGTTATATGAAATGGATATGCTGTGATATATACGTTGTTTAGAATATCAACCATACCAAAAATAAATAATATTTAACTGAAATATGAGGCTGCTGAATCTGGAAATAAAAAAAAGATTTACGAATTAGTCCTATTACTTCAGTCTATTATTTTTAGTATCAATTTTTTCTGAAACGATTGTGGATCTCATGCATTATATATTCTAATTAAACAAACTCTAAAACTTTTATTAGTTATACATTCTAGACCTTTTACAAAATTTTAGTTATGTTGGTATACCATTTCTTGACATATGGTACAAATTTGAGCGCCATCTGTCAATTAGTTTGTTTACAGCAACAGTGGGACTATCTCAAGTGCATTAAGCGATTTTTACTATGGAAAATTCTTGTTGTACGCGATTTTTTGACCAAACACGGCTCAGGCACGGTCATCGCTCAGACACCATATTCGCCAGATCTGGATCCGTACGACTTTTTTCTGTTCCCGAAACTCAAATTGCCCCTTCGTGGTAAGCGTTTTGAGTCCATTGAATCGGTAAAAGAGAATTCGCCAAAGGAACTAAAAGCCATAGCTGCACGGGCCTACGAAAAGTGTATGGAAAGTTGGGTTAAGCATTGGCGTATATGTATCGCTTCAGAAGCAGCATATTTTGAAGGAGATAAAATAAATTTGGAATAAAATTTAAATTTGTATGTCTTATTTACAAAATCCGTACTTGTTGAGCAGAAGGTATATCGTAAGTTTCGAAAGTAGAGTAAAACCACAAAGTTAAAGAATAAAATAATCAGTACTTTATTTGCTAATAACGAGGGCTAACAAGATTAAGACATTTCACTATAGAAGTCTACGAATTAATAAGCTTTGCAGGTTCATAATAGAACCTGGTTTCTGGAAAGAAAATTGTGTTTATAGGCTACTTAGATAGAAGAAAAAACTCTAGCGGCACTTAAAACAACGAACCAACCAAAGTAAGTTCAACATGCCAAAGGTAAGTCCAATTGGGTGTTATAGTACAAGATGTACCAACGTGTTTTAACTTTGAGAGTTGTTTGCTTGCTCGGAATATAAAGATATATATTCATTAATATGATAATGACAATTAATTTAAAAAATATATTTTAATAATAAATCTCAGACCTAAATTTTTAGTTTTATTAATATTCTTTATAGATAGCAACTACATGTTTTTGTATGTGATTGAATTTTGGAGGAGCAGTGTTTCGGAATTTGGAATTGGACTATTTTCAAACATTTTCATCAAAAACATCATTTTTTTAAATTTTTACATTTTAACATTTTAATTATTTTTTGTAGTTGAAAACTTGTTTTAACAAAAAAATTTCATTACTGATTTACAGTTTTCCTTGTAATAGTTCTGATAAAATATTTTTGGTTCTGTACAGTTTTGGACATCATACAGTTTTTAGCTATCATATTAAAGGACGTTTATAGGACCAACAATTTACAATTTCTGAGATATTGATATCTTTTCACTAAAATTTCATCCGTATTTTTTTGTTAGGATCAAGAAGTTATCTCCCGAATATTTTGATTACTATATTTTTGTTAATTAATCTATGTATTATAATCAACAATACAACTTTTGCTTATCAAACCTGAATTAAAGTTTGCTTACTCTTCTAATTAGTATCCGTATTAAATAATCAAATATGAATTTTATGGAATAAATGGTTATTTTCCAATCTTTGGTGGTCTTGGGGCGACTTTTTCACTTACCCAATTGAACTAAAATTTTACACAGATTATTATTTTTAGTAAATAGAACCGATCCCCCGTCAACAGATTTAAAAAAAAAAAATTGCTCAAATTTCTAAATGGCACGCTAATATATATATATAATAAGTCGTTTATAATAAAAAAAGTTAATTTTAATAATTTATTATAATAATTTTTTATAAATATTATATCTGGTTACAGATCATCTTCTTAAACGTTTATTTAATATGTAAGGTTCATTAATTTTAGGTAAACCATAATATCAAATTCCTTGTCAAATGCTGCAATATATATTTCTAAAATATATAAAAATTTTAATAATATATATGAAATTCTATTCTTAGGATAGTTTAATAAATATATACACTTGTATCTCCATATTCAACTTAAAACTGCTGTCCAGATCATATTATAATGAACTCTTTAAAGCGGTTTAAAAAGTATATCTGAACTAATAATAGATTCACTATATATCTAAGTACTCTTATAAATATATTAAAGTGCATATATTAATAAAACGATGGTATACATTATTATTATTGATATTTATTAAATGAAAGTTTATCAACGGAAAAATTTTACTGGGAGAGAACTGCTATTTGTTGTTCTCAATCTGGACAATAATAGAACTACGATTATGACAGTATTTACTTTTGGACAGCAACAGCTTTAGTTTATACACTCTTCAGTTGAATCTATAATACACATAATTATTTAGATATTGATTACTTTTTAAAAATTGAATGCATTTTTACTTTGAATAGTTCTATAGACCTCACAATTTATACACAAAACTGTTTACGGCTTGGTTCTTCCGAAACATGAAATTGACGATGTCCGTCGATTACAGTGTTGAAACCATTTATTCTTTACAAGGACACAATAACATAAGGGAGCTGTAGAGGCAAGCAAATATATATTAAAGAAAAATATTATGTGGTGTATATAAATGTTTTTTAGGACTTATCATTCCTTACAGATATTGCTCGTCGTTTCTGAAGTATTTTTACGGTTCTTTAGAAATGATACCAGGTAAACCAAGCAGTCATTTCTAACATTTTTCTTTGTCTTCGGAAAATTTTATACCTTGGCTACGGCAACATAACTGAGGCTTGACCTTGAATAGGATGTCTCTTTTGTTATGGTCAGTAAACATTTTTGTCCAAACTGTGTGAGTTCTAAAAACAAAATTTAATAAAGTATAATTTTAATATAGTAAAGTTTTTAATAAATCCTGTTTATTACCTTCATTATTAAGACTAGTGCCATCATAAGAATTGATATATCGCAAATATAAAATATATAAATCTTAAAATTTGTTTAAACTTTTTGTAAAAAGCAAATTACTGCTTTATCACTGTTATGCTAAAATACCTGTTTGTACTCCTTTTAAAAATTAATTAAGTAAAGTACTCATTATAGTACTTTGTTCTGTGGATATATATGAATTATCCACTAATACCTTTGTTTAAAAATGCCGTTGGCAATTTCTAAAACATATTTTTTCAATTGGTACGTGATTCATTAATAACAATAAATATGAACCACCTCCGCAAAGTCCACTTTTCTCAAAATTACTTATAATATTCCACATCCGAGAAAATGCATCTGCAGTAATCGACTTGGTGTATTGACAATATCTCTACAATTAACTTTACACGTTTTGATCTGGCGCATATTTCTGAGAGTATCATATCATTTTGTCAAATGATCTTAAAATCAAAAAAAATATTATAAAGTAGTTAAATATTAGATTTTTAGATTTTTATTACTAATAAAGTGAGATAAAGAGAAAGCATTCGTTGTTTTTAAATCAAATTTGGAAATAAGTATATATTTTCTGATTTCGAAAAAAAAATTTTTTTAACCTAGTCTTACGAAATTTCGTCAATGTGATTTTGGATCTGAGTAAATAATCTCATTTCTGGAATCTATTTGCATCTGTGCCTCCGGCTACGTCAAAGACACTTCACAGTCCTTTTATAATGTAAATATAAATCGGAACTGTACACTTGGTACACGGAATTAATGTGTTGTCGTTGTCATGTTAAAATAAACAGTCTTTCACTTTTCGAATTCCGGACCCATTTTGTAATTTTTTGATTCGTTATTAGTCGCTAATATAAGCGGACGAAAAAACACCGAATATTTTCTGAACAACCCAAATTGATAACTATTCGTAATTTGTTTAAATACTGTTGTCGATATATTTTAAATAACTAAAGTTTAACCACAGTTCTGAACATATTTGTTTAGTGATGACTTACCAGCCACACAGAGTACTCCAATAACGTTCTCTGATTTTAGTCGACTACGCGTGTTGATAGTTTTCGATACAATATAACACCATAAAGTTCAAATTTTCCCCCACTAATTGAATGCCAATTTTCAAACCGCAGCATTCCTTCAAAGACGGCATCAATAATATAATGTAATCAGTCTCTGACGTATGTAGTAAATAAAAAATATTAGGTTTGGTTAATATTAGCCTTGCAATAAATTTCAGTTTGACATAAAAAAAATTTTGAATTTTGACAGTAAAAAAAAAAAATCGAACATTACTTACAGAAACGAAGGGGACTCATTGCTAGACTTTTTGTTAGTTGCGGTCGATTTAATACTGCAACTAAGAGTATTCACTTGAATTCTAAATGTTTTTGCGAAATACATTTCAAAAATTCTTTAACATTAGTTACTGGGTTCTGTCTGTTTCCAAAATAGTTAACATTTGACACGTTCTCGTCAGGCTCGAATTCCTCAGCAGAACGCATAGTTGTCGCCTTGAACAATAAGTCTTTCACCCTTTCGAAATTGTCTGTTTTGATTTTCATAGAGCTATTATCTTCCCTGACTTCATCTTCATGTTCTGATTGAACTTCCTCTTTTTCTATTTCTGCGGCAATTAGCGCTGCTTGCTCCTGAAGCTTCAGTTGCTCTACCCGGCGTTTATTTTTCATCTGAACCTTAACGTGAGTTAAATAAAATAACGAGAATACCAAGAGCAAACTCGAAAAAATTATAAAGATTGGAACGAAAACAGCCATTCTCTCTAAAATTTTTCAAAAAAGAAATACCAAAAATTTTTGAGGAGCTAAAATTTTGAAACTAACTGACCGAAAATAATTTTTATATAACTTTATGTATAACACAATTAAGTAAATAATTTTTAAAAACTTTTTCGGTAACTTGATCAAATTTTTCTTTTTCAAATACAAATTTTTTTTATTCCCAAATCTGAAACCACCTTTCTCATTATTATAAATATGAACAATATTGCGAGTACATTCACAGATATTTGTATTATAGCTCGGAGAACCCGTGATAATAGTCAGTATCACGGGTCAGTAAATACACTGATGAAAAATTTGATATTTTCTTTGAAAATTGAAGAAATGAAAAATATAAGAGATAACTTATACTCCTAGTATTTTCATTAAAATGCCTGGATCGAAACAGCTTTTTATTTTACTATGGAACATTCACATTTTTTATAATTATAATCATGTATTACAGAATGAATAATGCTCAATATTATTTTACAATATCAAAACTACATACTGTAATATTTGGTAAAAAATATGTATTAGATGTTGTGTTTGTTTTTATACAAGAACACAGTAACCCAAAATATAGATTTGTACCCATCTGTATTAAGAGTCAGATGGTGCCTGAGTGTATGTATGTAATATGTATGTATGATTAAAGTGCATTTAAATAGCACACCTAATATAAATTACGCATGGTTAATATTTATAATTCTCATAAAGTTTACTGAAATCATTATACAAAACATGCTTAAAAGTGTATGATATTTATTAGCTGATTTTAATGTAAATGTCTACTACGCTTATATAGTATAATATGTAATATTATTTATATAATATATAGAAAGTTTTCTGTTATTTATTGTTTGATTCTTTGAATATTTCCATCAGAGTCTGATAATTTAATACAATTTTAAAATGGATGAGGAAAGTGAAAGTGATTATCACCACTTCTTCATATAATAAGAATTAATCAAATATTGAGACATTGAAGAAGAATGCATTAGCTTTACTGAAGATATTTTGTTGCTTTGAAGAATTAAGTAGGAAAATGTACTGAATGCGATTTTAATCTTACCCATGACTCACAAAGTCTAAATTTAATGGCTTTTCAAATTTACATTGTTAACTTTAAAATAATTTCCTATATAAAGTCCAGTCGTATACAAACTGTACTAACCAAAAAAAAAATTTTAAGTGGTATAAATATTCTTTCCAAACGCTTCTTATGTACGTTGTGTAGAAATATATGAAAATTTATAAAAGCTTTAAGTGGGATATTCCCCAAAATAATGTTGAGAAGCACAATTCTATATTCAATCAATGTAGAAACTATATGCAAAATTGGACTGATTTAAAATAATTTTTATTGTCGATGTTAGGTATTTTTGCACTTCGTTAAATGCAATCATCACTTTAATATTTTTCCAATAAATGATTAAGGTTCATTATTATAAGTTCTATGTAAAGTATTTCATTCCACTAATAAAATAATGGATAAGTTTACTTACATATATTAATATTAATAATAGAAAGGTATAAATATACATCGAATTTTTCATTTCGGCGCGGTTATAGTTCCTCAATTTAGCCCATTTGCTATCTCTATTTACAAATATTCCAATTCGTTTTGTTATAAACATCATAGATTATCATTATTATTATAGATTAGCAAACAAAAGTTTTGAAACACCTTCAATATCTGTTCAACAATAATATTCAATAATATCCACGAAAAAATATTCAAATACGACGAGGACATTCTTGCGCATATTAGAAAAAGGAGATATCAAAACTAGTCTACTTCAAATTAGCACCTACAGTTTTCTGTAGGTTCAAAAAACTACATGATTTTGATCAATTAAAAATAAAAAAATTAAAAGAAAAAATGTTTTCTTAAATTTTAAGATATGAGGTTCTTTGAAATAATAACCGACTATTTCCGAAATACATTTTTAAGTGCATAATTTCTAAGCCAAGAAAAGTTAAGTGATTTCGATTATTCCAAACAGAAAAATATGAAATAGAATAAAAACCGATGTATTTTTTTAGATATTCGACTTATCTATCCTTAAAATGTATCGGTTTTGTGACGGAATGTTCGTATAGCTTTTGACACACCTGTGAGTCTAGTTCTGAAAATAGACCACTCATCCCATTAGGATAGTTTTTGTGTTAGGAATGAATAGTCTCCACCTGCATTTATGACATTCCAATTAGAAATTAATAGGTACTACAATTATTATTAGTAATATTATTATATGTAATAATAAATTTGCATATAGAAATATAAATACATTATCATTACAAATGTATACGTAAAAACACCATCGAGCTTTTCATACAAAATTTGAATATTTTTGTGACGATGTGAAGGAAAGACTTATTTTGCCAATGAAATTTTTACTTTTATTTCTTTAAACAAAATCAATTTTTAAAATAAAGGGTTGAAGGGTTTAAGTATAAATTTGAAAAGAATATTCGCAATCAGGTAATCCAAATTTTCTCCAGAAATCTTCGGGTCTTCAGTTATATTGTCTAAAGGGTATTGTAGTTTCATATTACCTAATTATGAAAAAACTTAAATGATTGATGAATTCAGTTGTGGTTTTAAGAATATTGCCGAAATCGTCAGTTATCATATATCTTTAGCACCCACTTTGTGCGTCTATAGAGTTTAGTCTGAAACAGTTTAAAACCCGAAAATATGAAAATTAGTCTGTTTGCTTTAATAGGAACTAAGTTCAAATATTCAATATCCATTAAGATACTCACATTATTCAATATTGTATCTTTTCTGAATTATTTGAAACCTAGAAGAAAAGTATTAATCTGTATTAATAAACAGTACATAATTTTTAATTCACCCACAATGTCATGAATCTTATATGTAATTAAAATTTTTTGGTTTTATTTGAGCTATACGAGCAAATTGGAGATCTGGAACTATTAATATGTACAGTATGCAATTGTAAACTTATATCCAAAATCCTCAAATCACCCAGCCGGTTGACACATTATTTGCGTGTCAAGTTGTTTCTTCATAAATTAAAATGGTTATCTATTGAAAAATGTTAAAATTATAGTATATATAATAGATCGAGCAAAATAATCATCTCCTAGTAAACACTAAATCATACTATAATCATAATAATCACATATTATAAATGAATAAGAACAGATTTGAATCAACTATATAGTAATCAATTGCATGAACAGAGATCGGTAGGCTTAATATTTCGCTATATAAATTCGTGTAACCCGATGTGTGTAGCAAAAAGAATTCGATAAGGATTATACTTGACTGTGTTTTTTTTTGTGAAACAATTGAACATGTCTATAACTTTCACACTAAATCGGCTCTTAAGAATAGTTTTGTGAAATTTAAAGACATTTTAAAAAAGTTTAATTTTCAGCAAAACAAATATCTTAGACCCAGAGAGCATATTAAAAGAAACAATATATTACAAGAGAGTGTTGTGTTTGATACAAGATATGGTGTGGTAAAAACAAAATATCGGATAGATATGATTGAAACAGTATATATTGTGCGTCACAGTCTATTAAGAGTATTATAGTATGAATTAGAGAAGGGACATGAAATCTGGATTTCATTTAAATAAAAACAACGTGTTAATTAAGTTTATGACTATGTCAGAATTTACCTACAATGCGTTATAAGTATACAAACTCAACGATTCCTTTTCTTTTTTCTATTTCTTTTACGAGTTTTCGTTGAGTTTGCCCTTGTTCTACAATGTTGACCAGGGTATGAAGGTAATGAAGGTAAACTCAATATACTTGATTCCGAACTGGAATCCGAAAACTCTGAATTGCATTTTTCAATCGCAGTGGTGAATCCATTCATTAATTTGTTGTTAAATGACAAAGCTTGCGAATCGCCTTCCAAGAACTGCCTATATGATAATTCATCATTACTGGTTGAAGATACAGAAATAAGTTTCGGAAATTGCAGTGTTCGACGTAAGCTTTGTTGGTCAATTTTATTTCCATTTTGTGATTCTATTTCATATGATTTGTATTCACAATAGCTCTCACCTTGACGTGATAGATTTTCGGACAGAGTTGGTGTAGAAGTGTATTCAAATGTACGAAAAGAAACTTCGCTAGCATTGCATTTCGAGCATATTTCCGAAATGTTTTTTATATGTTCTTCGTACTTACAACTACTTATAGTACACATGCTGCTAATACTACTCAAACTACTCATACTCGTCGTACTACTATCCACTGACAAATTTTCCGAATTATTTTCTGTATCGCGGTACGAATTTTCATAATTTTTTTTTATAAAAAATGAAACGAAAGCCGAAAATTTTGAACGTTTTGTAGCATCCTCCTTTAATAGCCTCTTTAAGGCAATTTCGAAATTTTGGGTAATTGTTCGCTTGTGAGTTCTTTTATATTTTCTTATTTCCTTTTTAAAATATTCAATGATCCTCTTTTCATTTCGACGATATTTTATTAGTTCTGCCTTAAATCCTTTAAGTATTTTCTTTTGTGAATGTGCGGACCCTTCTTTTTTGGCACGTCCCATAGTTATAACTTTTTACAAATAGATTTTGAGTTGACTAGTAAAAATTTAATTGGCAGTTTTTTTGTAATTGACTATATTTGAAAATTTATTTGAATGAATTAAAAGAAAAATTAATTTGAATTGAAAATTGTGCTTACTTTGTGAAAATTATTAAAAGTAATTTTCGCTGGATAACATCCAGTAGGATATAAGTGCCATTATAGCTATCTGGTTGTCGGTATTACAATTTTACAGTTCCGATAGTTGCGTTCACGCTTGAAACTGTCAAATCTGTCTATCGCGACCATAGACAAACGCAACCATAGACAAATCTATTGTTGCGTTTCTTCCCAATGCTTCCAAGTATATTTTTTTTATTCCATATACACCAGCTTTAGCTCCAACTCACTGGTGAGGGAGCCGTTTGTGATCTTTGTCATGATTTCTATTTTAGTTATATCAAAATAATGAACTTCTTAGAAAATACACATAAAAAATAAGGAGAAAAATAAAGAAAATGATTAAATGAGAAAATATATTTACAGAACCATCTGAATATAGGAAAGAGAGATTATTTCATTCTATCTCATGAGTGTTTGTAAGTAGTTCGAAATGTTTGAATTATTCATTGATATTCGAATATTTGAATTATTCCACAAATTCGGATTGTTCGAATACAAGCAAGACTAGATTTTTTAATGATCTAATTTTTCATTGTTTGACATCTGGTATCTTAAAATGGTTTTGCTCTTCAGTGGAAGAAAACATGAATGGAAATTCTAATATAATTATTAAACATGGATATACAGTAGCTTAAGATTTATGACAACTTTCTGTTAAATATTGATCAAATCGAAAATATTTTTAATTAAAAATTAAAATTTCTATTCACAGAAAACAAATCCGCTTTATTTTTATTAAGCTTTGCACTTTAAAAAGTAATTAAACGAAAATTTCAATAAACCAACTTAGCACGCATTGAAGCATTTTTTCTTATCACATAAGAAGGCTTGTGGTAAAAAGAAAGATATATCTAAAGTTACTTAATTACCCAAAATTCATTTTCTCTCGTTTTGTGAACAGATGTGTGGTGAGCACGAAAAAAATGACGCATCAATGCGGCATTAACGGTGCTTCCACAGCTAATTACCTATTAAGAATCTAATGTGCAGATACTTTTTTCTTCCGTTGCAGTCACGTTAACTAAATAATTTAATTCTTTTGCGGTAAAGTTTCTAATTATATGCAAAATTAGCATAATTCTTGTATTGAAACGCAGCTATCTGAACTCTCAAACGCACATCATTCTCAAAACAAACAACTTAATTATATGGCGTCATGCATGTAGTGTGCCAAATCGAGTGATTATACGATAAAAATGGAGAAGAGAAGAATGCTTCTTTTTAGAGGATGAAAAATGCATTCATGCACATTTCTAGTGTTGTGCAGTAGATGGGAATCAACACTTTGGGGATAATGGCCTTAACACCGTAAATTTAAGAATTTTTCGCTGAGAAACGCAGTGCTCGTACCTCACGCTGATGTGGTGAAGTAAGTGAATGAAGTCAATATTATACGGTAAGTATTTTATTGCATTCATTTTATATTAATTCTTTAAGGTTGTTAATTAGTCACCCACTAAACATAAATACGTATTTGTAATGTCAAATTCTTTCACAGAACTGAACTTACTATGAGGAAATATTATAACAATTTGCGGAATTTCACACAATATTGAAAACTGTTATATAGCAAAGACGTCATATTAAGAGTCCATATAAAGTTCAATACTTAAAAGTCTAAATACTATATCTTCGGATGAAAATTTGGAGAATTTTATGTTCTTCCGCTAATTAGATTATATGTAACAAGTGGATATTTCACTTATAGTATTTCTAAGCACACGTCACTAACCAAGGTCTCTTAATTTTTGTCTGATAAATGTCATCAAAAAACTTACTTGATTTCTATTTGACATATTCCAGCTTTTCGTTAAAATAATGTTTTAAATACAGTATTATTATTATTATGAAAAAGTGATAATACACTGCAACCTAAAAGATCTATTGTGCCCCTTGGTCGGATTTCGATTTCTCTAATGAAAGACAATATAGAGCCTATTTCTCCCAGCTTTAAGTCCCTATGTTCCATGAAATACCAGGTGTTTCTTTCGCTTGTGCATCAGTACCACGCGCTCCTATAGCACATGGTATGCGATTTCTCTCTCTTCTCTACAGTATCTGCAGTCTAAGTTGGATTGAATTCCTGACTTTGTTAGGTGATTCAATCAACAGTAACCGGTTAGTAATTCCATAATTCCATTAGGTTATTCATAATTTGTTCTCTGCAAGCCTTGAAGCATATTAAGTTGTAAATCCCTAAAAGCATTTTAGATTGTGTTAGTTTTGGTAGCGCTTCCCCACAGAGTTCTTTTTACTTTTCCTCTGTGCCGTTTATACGACGGATTTAGGTCCTTTGCACAGTAGATTGGATAAATAGATAAAAACAGTTCATACAGTTGAAACAATTTTGATATCTGTAATATCTATGTTAGCGGATCCAAATGATGAATCCCCAGCAAATGTAGATGCTGCTAAAGAGTGGAGAGAGTCATATCCAGAATTTAAGAAAAAAGTTGCTCGATGCGTTAGAAAAAGTCAAGAAGAATGCTCGTAGAATATTTAATAAATAATTTCTTTGTATTAAATAAATAATACGTAACTTAAGACCGGCTTATCTATTATCTTGTCTATTAGCTTATGCATTATTATCTATTTATTATTTGCATAAGTGCAAGTTTATTTTTTATGCATATAAAAAATTCTTACGAAAATACCTTAGCTCTTAATAGATGTAGTAAACGCTATTCTTTAATTTCCTGTGAAAAATATATGCTGTGATAATATGTTCCACCTTTAATTTGAAGCTTAAGCAATGATGAAGTTAATATTCATAACCCAAAGTAATAATGACAATTTACCAAATAATATTTAGACAAATTTACACGAACATTTAAATTTCGCAACTATAAAACTCAAGAATTGTTCACGCTGCGAATAGTGGAAATGGAGTTGCCTTGCATCAGCGGAGTTGCCATACTCAAACTCTGTAATGAGATGTACTTAACACTAAGTTATTTTTTTCTAGTAAAATTTCATAGATTTGCTGTTCAGTGCGATAACAAAGATATTAAACTGCAGCTCTTACATCTAACATTATTGTTTTTATTTTTTACATATTTTTTAAATTTGTTTTAAACGTTTATGCATTTAACTTCGAATAATTGCATTTTGCTGTGGTTTACTTCAACTTGAAATAAAACTTAAGTGGCAGTTAAATAGCATCTTTTGCATGCTGTGCTTGTTGTATAACCAAAAAGCAATATCAAGATACTCAGATATTTAGATACTCATACTCGGTTAGAGTATACAGAGATGTAAAGAAAATCTTTTCTAATTTTGGGCTGCCTATTTTAATGCTCGTATTTGTATTTTGTGTAAATTTGTGGCTGCTTAGCCGTTTGCCCAAATGCCAGTACTTGTTAGGCGAACCGTCTGCCTCCTTGTCCCTGTCTGTCTACTTTTTATGAGCTTATGTAGTTTCAGAGTCAAATGAGTATGTCTAAAAGGAAGTGTTAACCTTTTACTTAAACTACAAAATAAGTCAACAAAAAACCATACCATAAAACTAACAAAAAATCTCACAATATTCACAGTTGAGAAAAAATATAAAAAAGATACTTCGGAAACGTGATCAAATTGCCAAGAAATTTACATAACTCCGATTAAAGTAATTCGGTTTATAGTTTGTGACTTATTTAAGTACCATTTGATATCGTCAGACTTTGATATGCCTATCTTATATTAACATATATTTAAGTGTTAGTATTTTAAAAATCTATTAATTAGCATGTAATTCGAATTATTTACTTTAATTTAATTTAAATTGAATATTACAAAATCTCAGACCTCCGAGTAACGACGAGCACAGCTCATGGATGATAACTAAATACTGGAAGCATATTTATTAATGACATAAAAAGTGAGTTGTGAAACTTAGAAAAAGCTATTGTAGTTGTTTTTAGTATTTATTTAAAAAAAAATTCAAACTATACAACCTTTTAGTGATAATATAGAAATATAAAGATTATAACATTTTACAAAGCTCCATGCCAAACAGATAAAATTTTAACTTAAATAAAGACATTTAAAAAAAAAACCTTTGTCTATTAAAAACATTGAGTTCCTAACAAAAGTTATGAGCGCCATTTTGACAATTAACCAGCTCTCCAAAAAAGTGGAAATGAAGATCGTTATGCTATGAGATTATCATAAATCCAAAACGCGAAATGTCTCAAAATAAAACTGTTTCATATCATCCAATCAACCCATTAAGCATCCTCGCTAAGTATGGTAACTCAAGAAAATACTTTCGAATATAATGAAGCCTTGAAAGTCTGGATTCTTATATGAATCAAAGAATTTAGAAAAACTTAATTTCTGAATAAAGTAGAAACCCATCATTCCTTTATTAAATTGAATTGATTCCTGCTTTCCACATAAGAACTTATAGCAAACTCTAATATACAATATATAAACAATATAGACTCGAGATGATATCTAATAAATCTGTTAAAAAAGATAACGGGCTCTGTAAAGGTCACCTCTAAGTAATTGTTAAAGCAACGTAGAAAAAAGTTTGATGAATAATAAAAGTAGAGAGCTGAAACTATAAATAAAGTCTGATAAACATTTAGAACTTATAGCACTCATAGTATTCGGGTGAAGTATAAGAATAAGCAGAAAGAAAATCATCGAGCTGTAAACCGAGGTAATCTTCAGTCCCTCAAAACTATAGTGAAAAATTTGAAATCGGGCTAAAAAAGCAAAACTAATGGCAAAGTAAAAAACAACACAATGCCATTTTAACTGTGATTAAAAGTATATCTAGTAGAAGCAATGTGATACTATAAACAGAATAATAAATACTGGTAAAATAATAAAAATATACTTATATGTGCATAAAAATTTTAACAATATAATTCTCATTATGTTGACACATCTATTACTATAAATAAAACTTAAAT